AATTTTCATTTTTGGGTGAACTATCCCTTTAAAAGTTCTTTATGGAACCATAGATTCCAATAAAGAACCTTAAGTATTAAAAACAATGGAAAACAACATTCACATTAAGAAAGGCTGAAAACGTCTAATTTGCAGGCATCGCCAAAGGATCTGAAAGTTTAGGGAAGCTCAATTTATAGCATTTTCGAAAACCATAAAGTGCCCTGTTTCCATGGGAACTGCAAAGCAATCGAGATGAGGTTACCCACCTGACATTAGTGAGATCCCACGGCACCATCGCAGTCTGTAGGCAGAAACTTTAAACCTTATGACTCCTAAAACAAAAACTTGCAAACACACGTCAGATCAAACACGACTGCAGTAGGACTAGTAACTGATTACTGATGAAACACTCATGTGATGCATCACTTTGGCCATGCATTCATAACGAAATTTTGTTATATTGTGAATATTCTTTTGACAAATCTCCAGCTGTATTATGTACCAATCTATTTCACTTCTGACCTAATTCAATACAGGCAAAGCTTTCTCTTCTGTGGAGACATCAGTGTGTTTTCACTGTGTGGAACAAGTGAGCGGTGAAAATCCACCACTGTGAATCTATTACTATACATTCACTGCAGTATTATTGATTAACTGCCTTCCATAAGAATTAAAACCTTGAAGAGAGTAAACCTACCCTTTTCTCATTGGGTGAATCTTATAAAAACACTTCCAGGTCACATCTTAGTTCAAAATCTTTATTTTCAGAGGCACAGATCCATCCTCCATTCTCCTCATGCAGTTTACCTAATTTGCCGCGAGTCTAATTTCACAGTCACTGTTGCGTGGCGGGGAAGTTTCCACCTGACGTTGAAATTATTATCTTGGGTGTCAGACGAGGCATTTCAAAAGGAAACTTCAATAGGATTCTTGGTACAGAGTCACTGTCGATGAAAAAACCTCTTTTAATTTGTATGTTAATGCAAGAATTCAATTTGAATAACGTGGAGGGGCTCGGATGGGTTTGTATTATGATTTTTTTTAAAATACAGTAAAAACAACTGAGGATTACTGGAGACAGATACTGCACAATGAAAGTCATCTTACATTCATGTGTGCAGTGTGAGCTGCATACAATGTAGAAAAGCCATAAATTATTTTATACATGCGGTTTTGCAACTGCTGCTGAATACTGGAAAATGTCTTTATTAAAATCGAACATATTAGGGTATTATTTTACCCCAAAATCAAAAAGAAATTGTTTTGAGATTAAAATTATGATAAATTAAAGGAATAGTTAACCCAAAAAATAAAAATTTGCTGACAATTTACTCACCCTCAGGTCATCCAAAATTAGGATGAGTTTGTTTCTTCGTCAGATTTTGAGAAATGTAGCATTGCATCACTTGCTCAGCAATGGATGCTCTGCAGTGAATGGGTGCCGTCAGAATGAGAGTCCAAACAGCTGATAAAAACATCACAATAATCCACAAGTAATCCACACCACTCCAGTCCATCAGTTAACATCTGGAGAAGACAAAAGAAACAAATCCATCATCAACTTTTTTAACTTCAAACCATTGCTTCAAGCTAAAATACATGTCCCAGAGTCACTGTCGATGAAAAAACCTCTTTTAATTTGTATGTTAATGCAAGAATTCAATTTGAATAACGTGGAGGGGCTCGGATGGGTTTGTATTATGATTTTTTTTTAAATACAGTAAAAACAACTGAGGATTACTGGAGACAGATACTGCACAATGAAAGTCATCTTACATTCATGTGTGCAGTGTGAGCTGCATACAATGTAGAAAAGCCATAAATTATTTTATACATGCGGTTTTGCAACTGCTGCTGAATACTGGAAAATGTCTTTATTAAAATCGAACATATTAGGGTATTATTTTACCCCAAAATCAAAAAGAAATTGTTTTGAGATTAAAATTATGATAAATTAAAGGAATAGTTAACCCAAAAAATAAAAATTTGCTGACAATTTACTCACCCTCAGGTCATCCAAAATTAGGATGAGTTTGTTTCTTCGATCTCCTGTTGTCTCTCACATCAAAATCCAGCCACATATCTGTTTAGAGCTGGCTTGTAAACGGTGCTTGATCTGTGCAGATTTCTCTCCTGATTCAGACCAGACTGCTTTTTCACTGGAGGAAGCCAGAAGCAACGGTTTGAAGTTAAAAACATCTTCTTGATGGGTTTGTTTCTTACAAACACACAGCTTTTGTCTTCTCAAGATGTTAACTGATGGACTGGAGTGGTGTGGATTACTTGTGGATTATTGTGATGTTTTTATCAGCTGTTTAGACTCTCATTCTGACGGCACCCATTCACTGCAGAGGATCCGTTGCTGAGCAAGTGATGCAATGCTACATTTCTCCAAATCTGATGAAGAAACAAACTCATCTACATAATGGATGGACTGAGGGTGAGCACATTGCAAATATCTGGGTGAATTATTCCTTTTACTCGCCTTGAAGACACTGATCAGATCCAGCTGAAGAAAACATTCCCTGGTAAAGAGAATAATTTCACTGCATCAACTCTATGGTTTTGAGCCAAAAATACAGTCGAGCCCAGCAAACAAGCAGTCAAACACCATGTCAGAGAGCTAATTAAAGGTCTGAAGTGTGAGGCGGCTGGCAATCCTGCTCACTTCTGTATATCAGCATCAAACACTGCAGAAAATCGGTACTTTGCAAAGGTCAGTCGTGTCCAGCAGTATCTTCAAAACAAAATACTACATTTAATTGCAATCGATATTTATACAGTCATATGTCTTCGTTAGTATATTTTGTTATAAAGCAGAGCAAAAATGCCACATTTTTAGCTTCCACAAATGTTTAAATGTGTCTGATAATTGAGGTAATTTTCTGCAAAAACATTTGATTGATAAATTGCACATCATATCACACATAAATATGACTTTAAAACCAATTTCAGAGGTTTAGCAGGTTTATTTTGATGCTTGTTCCCATTGTGACAAAATCACAGGCAACTTAACTGTAGCTTTAATAAATGAGGAAAACACTTAAAGGCTCATTAATCCGTATTTATGATCAAGTGAGTAAAGAAACTAATTTCGTTTAAACATCAGAATCCTTCAGTGCTAGGCAGAAGTCAAGCTGCTTTGATTCTCACATAAGCTCAGGCACTTTTCTGCAGATTTCCTCCAGATATCTTGTCTGTGATTCTAACAAACTGTGTTCATCCCATCACACTGTCGCAGAGATTCAGATGTCACAGAACATCAGATGCGACTTTCATGTTTATCCAGTGTTAAACAAAACCTCCCTGTAAATGTGTTTACTTGGCCTGTTTCTGCTTCTTGCATGCTTTTTTGTGAACATCAGTCCTTAGATACTCATAAAAACATCATGGATTATAACCCAGCTATGACAAACATGACACCTGAGGATATTAGAAAGGGGTTAGGTGTGTCATCTAACAAACCGCATAATGTTTGTCATAATACATTTAGAAAGAATCCATCATATGCAGCTGCCTGTGATTGAGGGATGCCTGAAAATGTGATAAGCATTGATTATGCTAAAATCTCATTTTTTCACGTCAAAATAAATGGCAAGTAAAATTAATTTCATGTCAAAGCATATTTATCCAGGTCTAACAATAAATAACAGACATATTGGTTAACTATATGAAACCATGTCAATTCCATGTCTAAATAATATGAGTATATATGCAGTTTATTATATAATCATATATGAAAGGTTATTTTATGTCACTATAAATAAAGCTGGATCACTACTACTAACAGAGGATCTACAGGGAACAAAATGTGGGGACATAACATTGAAATAAGGGAAAGACTATAGCGCTATCTGGTGGACATTTGGCAACTTACATACAGCTCCTGAGCTGTTGGCTGTTGAATTACTTATAGCTGTAAGAATTACCAGCTGGTAACTTTTCAATAAACATCCACAGTGCCTACACTATTTGTGAGTCCCACAGATGCCATGTATATGCACATTTAAAAAGCACTGTATATGCACAATATAGGGTGAATTCGGGGACATTTTGCCTTTAAGATGACTGGGGAAAAAATAGCCCAACTGTAAACCATTGAACATTCCAACAACTGACCATCTGATAAATTAATATCCATTTAGCCAAAACCTTTAACCACTAAGCAGCTAAAGTATTTAGTCCTATAAAGTACTACTGAAAGAATAGTTTAGCCAAAAATGGAAATATTGTCATTTACTCACCTTCAAGTGGTTCCAAACCTGTATGACGGTATGGCTTCTTTTTTTTTTTTTCCTGTGGAACATAAAAATATGATGTTAAGCATAATGACAACCTCACTTTCATTGCAACTTTTCTCCATAACATTTCAATGTTCAGCTGCTGCAGTATGTCGCTGTCCGCGGTGCTGAATCTGAAATAGTCAGATAGAAAGCTTTTAGTTATTTCACATTCATTGACACCTTACATTGCATTCAAGTCATACATCAAACCATGATCAAATCACCACCAACACAATTATTGCAATCATGAAAAATGATTGGCATTATATCGATATCTATGTAACGTGTGCAATGGTTAGCAGTGGCTAATAAATTACCATGGTTTTATTAAATTGAAATACAACAAAAACACGACAGACACTGAAACTGGTGAAATTGACACATGCAATCAAAGAAGTGAATCTACAATATACAAATATTTGCTTCCATCCATTCAAATTCTCACAATAATGTGTCAGAATTTGATTTTACTAAGCAGTAATTTAATTCAAAATTGGGTAAAAGTGCAAAACAGGTTGCAACTTTTTAGAGTAAAATAACGCATTAATTTGTAAACTATTTGTAGGATATATGTTTTTTTTTAGATATTGGATATAGTATTTCATTTATTTGATTGCATGTGTGGATTTCACCAGTAGCGTGTAAATTTCTTTGCGTTCGGTTGTCGACATCTGCTGTCGGGAGCTTCACCGAGCACCACCACCATCATCCTCCTCATCATCCTCCCCACCCCTCAACCTCTCCCTGCGGGAACGACAATATCCAGCTCCTAACATTCCCAATTTGGAATTGCAAATCCTCGCCAAAGGACTCAGTCTGAGCGGCATAAACCACATTCTTTCTTTAATGGCGTCAGAAACGCGTCTCACGCTCGCGTTATCGTACAGGAGGTATGGCGGCTAATCAGACGCTCTGTGAATCCGCATTAGTTAGATTTTTTAATGCATGCGTTTGATATGATTATAATACGATCATTCGATTATTAGTCATTCAAAAGATGCATATGCGCGCATACGGTGCACAAATTGCCTAATCAAATCGCAGGTGTTACAAACAGGATTAAGCGATGAAATTCAATTTCAAAATGCATGACGGAATGGACAGACTGATTTAAAAGCGCTGGTTGCATTGGTTTGTGATTACTGGATGCTGAGGAGTCTGGGGAGAGTTTGAGGTGGTCCACACCCCGTAATTGTTCCAGCCATGTCCCCTCCAGCATCCGCTGCGACAGCCAGTGAGAGCAGCACCACCACTGTGTTCGAGGACGACCCAGACGGCACTAGAGAGGAGGTACTGAATAACTGATGCTGTTTTCATTTTGCAGTCATGACGATGCGTGAATAGCGCGTGATAAGTGAAACAAAAAAATTTAAATATGAGCATCGATGTTCACAACATGGAAGCATGCAAGTTTATGTAGATAACACTGCAGTAAGAATGCATGAGCAGAGATTGGCTTTATCAAATAACAGGCGGCCAGTTCGACCAGTCTTTGTTATTGTAAGCAATAGAGGTAAAATCCACTAATGCATGATGCTACATATCAAATGACACCCAGTATGATACCTGAAGCTAAGCCAGACAATGCTGATTGATCACATACTCCATATGATAGTGATAAACCAATATACTGGCCAGGCCGATATTTGGTCATGCTCATTTGGCATATTACTGTAGGTGTAGTAGTGCAGACTAAGCCAACCTAAGACGGTTTGCTAGTTGGTATGCTGGTCTTAAAGCGTGAAAGGCATTTACGATCAGCTAATGCCAAGCTGGGAGACCAGCAAACCAGCTTAGGCTTGTTTCAACAAGGTTGCATCAGGTTCAAAATATACAAACAGCTTTGTATATGGATAATGAACATTTTCCATTTCTTTTAGGGAATTTTGTCGTATTTAGTAAACATTGTAGTTAATAGTATTTAAAGTAAATGTTTAATAATAAAAAAATAAAATTGAATTTGAACACCAAACTAATTTAGATTAAAAAAATAAATAAAAAATAGGGAGGCCTACAGTCCAAGATCCAAGGAGAGGAAGGTTTTACTTGATATACACAGGTGACAAAAAAAAAAAAAAAGGTGTCCAAAAGGGAAAATGGACAAAGAAGTAAAGTTTGTATTGTTTTAGTAACTATTACAGTAAATATTGCTTAAAACAAGTGTCTAAAAAAATGAAATCCAAACACCAAACTAATTTAGATTCAAAAAAGAAAGTTCAAGATCCAATGAAATACCAAAGAGATGTACACAGTTTACAAAAACTTGTACAAAAGAGAGATATGACAAAAAAGTGAACTTGTGCATAAAACCCCCCATTTTAGTCCATTATAATCCATCTTCAGTGTCCATATATCCAGCATGCATCTGACATATACATTACATCATAGCAGTTGCATGTAATGCATATGTCAGATGCATGCTGGATGTATGAACATTTAAGATGGTTTATAATGGAATTTTTGTATGTGGAAGCATTCTCTCATTCATCTCTAGATACTGAAAGAAATATACTGGCCAAGCACTAATGGCCATTAGATATGTGCTGCTCTTGGTACGGTATTGCACGAATATTAACCAGTAAATGAATACATTTGTGCAAATCTTGCTTTCAAACAACGACATGCATGGCAATGCATTTGCGTAATTAACTGTACTTACCGTTTCGATGTCCTTTTTAACTCATCTACATTCTCTTTGTTCTCTTGTGGTTGACGACGAGCAGCAGAGGCCTGTGAAACAGTCACTGAACAAGTCCATGTGCAGAGAGGTGTTCTGGAAATGCCTTCTGCTGTCCATGCTCATGTACGGCTGCATGGGAGCCATGGTGTGGTGCCACGTCACCAAGGTCACCCGGTTGACATTTGACAGTGCCTACAAAGGGAAGTCCATGATGTATCATGACAGTCCCTGCTCTGATGGCTACATCTACATCCCCCTGGCCTTTCTCATCATGCTTTATGTCGTATACCTGGTGGAGTGCTGGCACTGTCATGCCAGAAATGAGCTTCAGTATAAAGTGCACATGGAGGGGATTTATGAAAGAGTCCAGAGGATGCAGCAGGCGAAGCCTTGCATCTGGTGGAAGGCAATCAGCTACCACTACGTTCGGCGGACGCGGCAAGTCACGAGGTACCGCAACGGAGATGCGTACACAACCACACAGGTGTATCATGAGAGGGTGAACACGCGTGTAGCCGAGGCAGAGTTCGACTACGGCCACTGTGGAGTTAAGGATGTCTCCAAGCAGCTAGCTGGTCTGGAAAAGTCAGCCATCACCAAACTGAGGTTCACTAAGTGCTTTAGCTTCGCCAGCGTGGAGTCCGAAAACTCCTATTTGACCCAACGGGCAAGGTTCTTCACCGACAACGAAGGACTGGATGATTATATGGAGGCTCGGGAAGGGATGCACCTGAAAAACGTAGACTTCAAAGAGTACATGATTGCCTTCTCCAACCCCGACCACCATCCTTGGTACATCTCCAACTCCGTCTTCTGGACAGCGGCCTTTCTTACCTTATCCTGGCCGTTACGGGTGCTGACAGAGTACCGCACGGCTTACGTCCATTACCGTGTGGAAAAGCTCTTTGGTGCTGACTACATACCTGTGACGCCCTGCGACGAGAGACCTTACTCTAGACGCATCCCGAGGGTCAACACCATCGACAGCACCGAACTGGAGTGGCACATTCGATCCAACCAGCAGCTGGTGCCCAGCTACTCCGAGGCGGGTCTGATGGACCTGGCGCAACGTTCAGGAAGTGTCAGGCAGAACTGTGAACGCTGCCATCGCGCCATCAGCAGCTCCTCCGTGTTCTCCCGCAGCGCCCTCAGCATCTGCAACAGCAGTCCACGGATCCCCTTCAGCGGGAGTCGCTTCTCCTTGGGAAGACTGTACGGTTCCCGCCGCAGTTGCTTCTGGAGAAGCGGGAGCGGCAGTCTGGACGAACCAGAGAGCCCCAGCGAGAACACGCGATGCCTGTCCGGACAGATAAATGTTGACGAGGAAGACCCACCGCCCTACCAGGATGCGCTGTACTTCCCGGTGCTTATCGTTCATTGCAATGAGAGTTGCCCCAATCACCGATCCTTCCATAGGAACAGCTCGTGCGTGGAGACGTCTTTATGATGGACCACCGAAAGAAGTTCAAAAGACGTGAGAGTCTTTCCGATAATGCAGAAAAATATCAATACCAGATGTGTCCTGTTACTCAGGAATCATTTATTGGAATATGTATTGGCCCACAACACTGTATGCTTACAACAATGGACGGAGCAATTGAGAAATAACCCCAATAATACATATTTATAGCAATAATGCAAACAAAGCATTGGAGTTCTAGGTACAAGTAATAATTTTGATTAACTTGCTATATAGGACAGCAAAAACGGGCTGTTTTTGTTCATATGTTTTTGACAGCTATAAATAACATTGGCCACAGAGCAAAAACCTGGTCTTTTTTCTACAAGTATGACCATTTTCACCTTGATGGACCTTCATAAATGTTGCACTTGAAGTTAGATCAGTCAAATCATCTGTAAAAGAATGTTACTTTGTTCCTCTCATGTAGTGGATTCTATTGGACCATGAAATATATGGTTTACATTCATATAAGAACACTCCTTACTGTATGTGAGAAAAATATCATGGGTTATTTGTACTTGTATTGTGATTTAACCGTATCAGGCAAGACTATATACTATTACGGACTATTATGGCGATGTTCGCAACACTATCTCAAACCTCTTAGGAAACCATATGATACATTTCAGGCTATGCAACTATTAACCTCTGGTATGTTATGCCTTTAAAACATATACAATTTACAATGGAATGTATGACTGTTGAAGCTTTTCTTTACATCGCTTGTATGTAGTGTACAAACTAACCAACAAGGACTTGATTATTTAATGAAGACAGACATGAACAGGCTTGACTATTAGTGAATGTTTTAGGGGTTTAATGGCTTGCGGCTGCTCTTGTACTTGACCGGAAATTGCAGTGGATCAAATTAAATGCAAAGGATCAATTAAACACAGTATAAGAGAGGAAATGCATATGTTTCTTTATGCAGCTGTACATTCATCAATTAGTTAACATTGTTTTGCATTAACCATGACAATGGTTCAGCCTCATGAAAGCTCAATTCAACATGGTTTTACCAATGATACCTGAATGCTGAAAAGAAGTAATGACCCTCAGAAATGGCCTAGAGCTTTTCAAAGACATTTTTTTTTATCTCATTCATCCAGTCGATCCAGATATTGCCTATTTATCTCTGGTCTGTTACCTGTTGTGTATAAAGGTTGCAAAAGCATTTATCAACATTGTGTCATATCACTTTTATACTGCCTAGATAATGTATATCATATCATGAAAAAGTAAAAACGCCATCACTATGCTGCCTTCATGTAGCACACAATAAACATTGTTATGTTAAATGGACATAAACTAACTGAATAAACTGCTTGTGGATACACAGAAATGAGTAACCACTGTGTAAATATGACTTGCCGGAAAAAAAGGACAAAAGAAAACTATAAGTCATGCCAAGTTACACTTAGGTCATTCCTGTTCGGTTTTTGTTGTGATTTGAAGGTATTTCTATAAAATAATTTCTATAAGGCATAAATCTGCCCTGGTCAAACTTTAATTTTGATTACTTACAAAATGACAATAAAACAAACGGGATGTTCATAAAGATCATAAAGTTAGCTTTCAAAAGCATGCCAACAGTCTAATATCTTCTGAAATGTGGATCTTACCAAACTGATTTAATTTGATGAATGTTTTAGAGAGAAACAAACCAACTAACACCAACAAAAAAAAAAAATCCAAGATTTTATCAAATATCCATTGATATTACTTACAAATATTTGCTGTTGATTTTATGCCAAAATGATTTCACTTCCTGGAGGAATAAAGTAAAAAAGGCAGTTATGAGAACACACCTCTAGATGGCAATATAGAATGTGTCACATAAAATATCATCACGGATAATTCTATTGCATAAGCAGAGCTATATATTTACGTATCATGCTGACTAAATTAAACAGTAACAATAACCAGTTGCTTTAGATGGCTCCACACACTAATGACAGAACACTTGTTGAGCTTCTGTTTGAGCACGTGTTTGCCAAGTGTATGAGTGTCTCTGCTTAAAGGAAAGACTGGTGTTTAGGAAAGTTAATAAAGACTGTAAATACAGATGGTTCAGTCATAGTGACCGCAAATGGCCTTGTGGACTACTGATGGACGTTGACACAGTAAAGTCTTACTTTATTCATTTTGTTATCAGTCATGTCCCACCCTGAGTACATAGACAGAGACGAGGGTGAGTCTGTTACTGTCTACTGCTACAACAAGCAAAACATCAATCATTTACAAAGGAAGAGTTCAAAGACTTCTATCATTTACCTCTTTTGCTGATCTTACTAATGCATTTGGATAAAAGTGCCTGCTCAATGCATAAACGTAACTGTACATTTGAAAATTTGCTTTCCAAAACAAGATAACTTGCATCATTATGGAAGGATCTTGCAGGTCTGAAGAATAACTATAGGTCATATTTCAGCCCAAGACATTGTTTTCATGTCACTTACAAATATTTCCCCATGTGCTTGTCATAACTGTAACTATAAGCAGTTATACATTATTTAAATTGTTAGGTATTTTAAACATCAACCTACATAAACTCAAAATTAAAAAATTGCGACGCATTACTATAATGAGGGAGAATTTGACCTGGACCTGTATGTAATTCCTAAGATTCACTCAGCAAAGAGAAAATATGACAATGCATGACAATATACGATGTCTTTCAAGGTAAAAGTAGAGTAAAAAATTGAATTGCTCAATATTTATATCCTTAATATACGGGGTAAAATAAAAAATACTGGAAGGTTGCAGGTTCAAATCCTGTTCAAAGGCGTTATTAATTAACTATCACAACCAAGAACCACTACTAAAAGGACCATGTTTTTGGACATTTACCATGGTATTTCAAGTACCTTGGAGTATCATGTAAAAACCATGGTAAATAGAAATGGGTCAAAGAGATAAAATCCCTGATTGTAAACACAAAAGTCACAAGTTAGTTAACTTTGCAAGCCATTTACTTGACTAAGTCCAACTTCTATGGCCTTTTGCTTGAATTTACTCAGTTTGACGTCTACTCTCCTCAGGATGAGCCTATTTCAGAAGATTTACACTTCTATAAACATGTTTTGTTTTTAAAGGCTATAATAATAATATTGGCTATGTAATGTACGATTCAGTGTTTCTCCTTCAATTGTTTTTTGTGGTTAGTTCTGTTCGGTGGGACTGAATCTTGTGGCATGTGGAAACGTTTTGTTATAATAAACTGATTATATCATTATGTTTGGATATATAAACTTTGTGAGGCTTCGGCTTATTATCTATTAGGCAAACATCACAGTTTCTAATTACTATTCATGAGCTAAGCCTTTATTGTAGTAGGATTCATTAATTGGAGTCCAAAATGTATTTATTCAAGTTCTCATGGCGTTAGACTGAGTTTTACTGTAAGTGTAAAGCAGTTAAGTGTCAAAAACATGTAAGCATGATAGAACAGTGAATTATGAGGTACTGAATGTTGATTTATTGGTTGTTAAACGTATGTAGAACAGTACAGCAAACAGATTTTCCTAATTGCTGACAGTGTGAGGTTTGTTCATTTTGTTAAAAAGTGCTAACTAGATTAGTGTCACCTGAATGAAAGAGTTTCTGACTGAAAACTTTATTTAAACAAACTAAACTCTCTGCTGTTTAATAAAATGCACATTGCAATTGATCACCATATGCAAAATCAAATAAATTATAATGAACAAGCCTGCGTTATGCAAAATGTATCAAGTATGAAGACAAACTTTAATTTAAGTCTTAGATTTGTGTATTTTATGGTTGTATGTATGTCTCAGAAGTCTGTCCAGGATCCATTTTCTCAGTCTCATCTGGATCATGAGTACATGGTGAGATGCATCCACTATAACAACAGAGTACTGGTTTATTAACGGTTATGAATTATTATTTTTATTCATCTTACTATGAATTCTGATGAATTAAATATTTGCATTAAAAACATTACTTCATTTTCTCCCAGCATCATGTTTGGCCCTCCAGCAGAGAGTCTCTTGAATGTTTCTGGTGATAATAAGAGATATAGTGAGTGTGCATTAATGATAGCAAGTGACATAAATCAGACACGACAAGGATATAATGCACTACAGAGGTTAGGTGTGGATGTTATGCAGTCATTTAATTATCTTTATGAAACACAAATGATCAAAGTTAAGTTCTAATCAAGCTATTAGGATTTTGATTGTACACGATATTTTGAACTGCAATCTAGTGCACAATAGGCTAAAGTTTAGACTCACTGGCCATGCAATCCATGCGCAGGACAAGTACAACAAAGTTTTCTAGTGTAATTTCACCACTGGAGTCACCGTATCGTACAGCCATGAGATTCAGCATACTGTCACTCAATACAAATCCTTGAAAACATCCAAAATATCAGCATATCCATTCTATTGCTTTGTATGTTGTGATTAAATGGTGATGTAACATTTATGACTTCAAGATCAGTTGAGAACATAGTTGAGTTAACTTGGTCTTAATTTAGAGAAAACTTTGAGAAAATAAAGTTACCTGCAAACTTAAGAGCATTTCTGAGTTCATTCAGAGACAGACTTCCAGTGTGCGAAACATCCATGCCATAGAAAATGTCCTGAGAAACAGACCAGAGAGAAATTACAACCCATTTTACTTACATAACATGCATTTTGAAAAAAGAATATGTGACGATAAAGCATGTAGAAATTTGTTGACCTTTACCTTTAGAAAAACCACACGTTTCCACAAACGGAGGCATTCAAATTCACTCAGCCTCCCAGTGACACTGAGCTGTATTTGTTGTTAAAGAGTATCATGAAACTTGTAAAATGTAATGAATGTGATTTTTTGTTCTATAATTGAAAAGCATGCACATGTGTCTGAAACACAGATCCCTGAAAGCCTTTTCTCACTCTGATCCTTCATAGTTGAGGATACATCCATCAGCGCCACCAAGCTCTTACACAAATCCAAACTGAATCCTGTTGTTTTCTGTGAATGTCCTGAAAGAGCAGACCAAAACATGCGCAGAATCAGACATCACTGGAAGCAAAACAGCAATATGAGATTTCAAAATGAGCTTATATTTTGACTTTTCTCTAGAAGCGTCACCTGCATAAAGATTCTCATTCAGAAGTCTCTGAAGTCGCTCAGCGTCCAGCTCTCCATACTTACATAAACAGACAATTATGACGTGATTTTACATGACATATATCAAATGTTACATAACTTCCTGTTCGTTTTAAATATCTGGGCTATTTTTGTTACTTTCAGCTGCATTTTCTGATTATAAACAGTCACATTCCCTCATAATCCAGAACTGTTAAAAGAGTCACGTGCACCTTATCTGCATATTGTGGAAAGAGCTGGAAGGATTCATCATTATCCCTGGGAATAATCTGAGAAAAATGGAGATCAGTTGAAAATATATGTACTTTCAAAAGACTTATTTGCATACAGCCCAAGCTGTGATATACCTTTGTTCTTGTAATGCCATATCCAGAACTGTCTCTGAAGACACAATATCAAAATCTTTAATACTGTAGTCCAATAATACTACATTAAATTATACTAAAGCTGATGTAAGTGATTTTTTTATGTTTGTTGTAAATAGTTTCTCATATCCCGGATTAATATGCATAAACTCTTACTCAATAATGGCTTCTGT